GGTAAGAGCGCGAAGTTTTCTTTGCAATCACTGGGGATATTCAAAGGCATTTCTCCAAATTCGTGTACGCGAAAGTGAACGGGATTCTTTAAGATTTCACTGGCGACCAAATCCACAGGCTGATGTAGAAGTACTACGGTTCACGAGAGTATTGTTTGGATTGGTTTCTTCTCCATTCCTACTTGGGGGAGTTCTTGAAACACATTTGGATCACTGGAAAAGCAAAGCTCCAGACGCAGTTGAGGCTCTGAGAAGGTGTCTGTACGTTGATGACATCATTTACGGAGGATGCACTGTGGAGGAAGCACGAAAAAGGAAATTGGAAGCTATTGACATTCTGGGTGACGCAACCTTTACCCTTCATAAGTGGGCATCAAATGCAAAGGAGTTGGATGAAGGTAGTGTTAACAAAAATCATGAAGAGCAAACAGCGGCCAAACAACAATTTGGGGATGCCAGCGGTGAAGGTTTGTGCGCAGTCGTCTACACAGTCGCTAAACAACCATCTGGAGTTACTCAGGAATTACTGGCAGCGAAATCAAGACTTGCCAAGAGAGGACTGACTATCCCGAGGTTAGAGCTTGTTGCAAGTCATATGGCCGCAAATTTGGTCTCGAATGCTAGCAATGCGCTGAGACACATTCCACACAGAAAACACTGCTGGTCAGATAGTACTGTAGCTTTATGGTGGATTAAAAGAGAGGGTGATTATAAACAATTCGTCTCGCATCGAGTGGCAAAAATCCGAGCTTCTAATGAGATCGTGTAGCATCATGTGCCAACAACCGACAATCCGGCCGACCTCGGAAGCAGAGGTGGCAAACTGACCGAGATGTGGATGAAAGGTCCTGCCTGGCTATCAGAGCGTAGTCTTTGGCCACCAGATCTTATAGTCAAACCGTCGACTGACTCCCAAAGTGAAGCAAAGGCGACGAGAGTAGTTTTGAGCACGGCTATCCAGCGGTCAGACTTGGGAATATTCAGTGATATTCTTGGAAAACATCCATTGCCGAAGGCGATTCGTATTGGGGCATGGGTGAAACGATTTATTGATAATGCTCGACAAAACAGAAATAATAGAAAGCACGGGCCACTGACATCTGAAGAAGTGGAAGAGCAACACATGTCATGGTTAAAAATGGTACAAGCCGGAGTCGCAGAAAACCCAAAGTCTCAAACGGATCTGATTCAGTTAAATGTACAACCCGACGATGACGAGATTTTAAGATGTCACGGTCGGATACAAGGAGAGTTCCCTATTTACTTGCCTGATGACGCTCTATTCACCGTGAAGTTAGTGGAAGATGCACACTTGGAAACACTCCATGGGGGAGTTATACTTACGATGGCAAAGGTCCGAGAAAGGTATTGGGTTCCTCGGCTTCGTCGATTAGTCAAAAAGGAAAGGAAGAGATGCTACAGATGCAAGAGATTCACGACCAAACCGTATCAAGCTCCAATACCTGCTCCTTTACCAAAGACTCGAACAGAAGGAACCACACCGTATAAAGTCATTGGTGTCGATTTCGCCGGTCCGATTAAGTATAAAGTAAAGAAAAATCAAGAAGGAAAAGCCTATCTAGTGCTCTTTTCCTGTAGCTTGACGCGAGGAGTATATCTTGAATTTTTGAAGAGTCTTGAGACAACTTCTTTCCTGCAAAGTCTAAAACGGCTCATAGCAAGGCGAGGTCGTCCTTCGCTGATCTATTCGGACAATGCAAAAACGTTCCAAGCTGCAGCAGCATGGTTAAAGAAAGCAATGCAAGACGAGGGTTTTCACAGCGAGCTCAGTAAACATAGCATTAAATGGAGATTCAATCTGTCCCGCGCACCCTGGTGGGGAGGCCAGTTTGAGCGATTGATCGGTGTATTCAAATCATCATTTTACAAAGTCGTTGGTAAAGGACTTCTGAAATTCGATGAACTGGCAGAAGTTGTTCTGGACGTAGAAATTTGTATGAACAATCGACCATTGAGCTATGTAGAGGATGATGTTGAACTCCCCGTACTGACGCCATCTTCGTTCGTACTGCAACAGACGAATGTCATCCCTGAGGTGGAGAGTCATCACATTAAGGACGGTGAATTACGGAAGCGAGCAAAGTATTTGCACAAAATCAAAACCCAATTGTGGAACAGATGGCAGCGAGAATATTTAACAAGTCTACGCCAACGCAATCAAGTTAACAAATCGGCAACCGAATCTCATCCGAAAGAGGGAGATATCGTTTTAATCAAGGGTGATGAGAAAAACAGAAATATGTGGAAGATCGGAAAGGTAACGATGTTGATCCGTGGAAGGGATGGAGTTGTGAGAGAAGTCAAACTTCAGTGTGGAAAAATATCTCTTGAGAGACCAATCCAACTGATCTATCCTTTAGAACTACAATGCGACGTCAGCAACCATCAAAAGAAGTTGCGAGTGAACGCCGAAGAATTCAGACCAAGACGACAAGCTGCTGTGGTTGCGGAGGCGATAAATCAGGAGCTAATGGAACAGGAATGAAATAGACTTCGAGACAAAGTGATATAACATGTGACTCATTCGTAGTCACATGTGGGGGAGGGTGTTGCAAATTATGTTAAAGTTATGTTGGGTTTCAATTGTACATTCGGGTACGTTGGGGACGATAAGGAACAATATAGAAAACATGAGTGAAACGGAAGTAGAGAGAGCAGAGAACGGAAGTGAGACATGCGACACAAGCGAGACGAATGAGAAAAGCGAGGGAAGCGAGATACTTTAAAAAGTAATAATAAAAATTGTTTATGAAACCAAGTTGTGATAGTGATTATTCTTGGTGTTCCGAACACATTGGGACGGAGGTCAATTTTCGGAATATCCCGATTGAGCAAGAATAACACTACCGCTTAAATATCGCTTACAGAACTCAATGGCTGTATCATGTTTTCTTAGATATTGTAGCACGGACCACTGTATAGAGAGCCGAAACTATAACTTTTAGTGGGTTTGGGGAGGGGGTGTTTAATAACGCTGCTGCTAAAATATCGCTTACAGAACTCAATCGCAGTATCATGCTTCCACAGATATTGTAGCACGGACCACTGTATAGAGAACCGAAACTGTAATTTTTAGTGGTGTGGGGGAAGAGGTGTTTAATAACGCTGCTGATGAAATATCGGTTTCAGAACTCAATGGCTGTATAATGTTTTCTCAGATATTGTAGCACGCACCACCGTATAGAAGGCCGAAATTATAACTTATATATGGGTGGGAGAGGGGGTATTCATATCTTTAATTGTGGTCGACTGATTTCTTGTGAAAGCCAACGTAGTCTACATTAAACATAATACAAATATAGTTAAACAAGTAGACCAATAAATAGACAGGCAGATGGAAAAATACAAAATTGATCTGAAAATATTTTTGTGAAAGCATGGAAATGATTTTCTCAATTGCTCTCTTTAACTTTATTTATAAGAGATCTCCAAAGGAGCGTTCTATTAAACGAGAAAATTTTTCAAATTAGTAAAACGTGATTGTGAACGTGATTGTGGTAGCCAAAGACAAGTGAAAGGTTCTGAATCACACATAAAATCCAAAAAAGATGTTACAATATTTGAAGCCGAAAGTTCGATCGTTTGCTTGAATCGTTCGTGTTGCTTATCTTGTCAATTTATCATACTTTAGCACTACAACATCATTTCTTTCACATGTTTATAAAACAGACAAGAATTTTATCAAAAAGACTGAAAGATATGATACGAATTTAAATCGCTTACTCTTTCTGTGGTGTTAAAAATTCATTGAATGGCATGATTCCTTTTCTACCTGTGTAAAAATGTCATCAAAATGGAAATTTTCTCGATAACGAAAACCCTGCCACAATAGACACATGACAGACAAATTGTTTTTTGTAAATAAATCATCTTATGCTTAATAAAGAATTTAAAACTGCAAAAACCATCTTCAATTTGGCAAAAGTAAAACAATACCAGCAATGTTGCGCGAGAATAATAAAAACAGCAGCTAGGGCATGAGTTTGCAGAAATAGAGATAGCGAGGCTCACTTTACCAAGGTGAATAAGAGAAACAGTACGTGTCAGATAATTTAGAATTAAAGCTTAAAATGTCTATAAAACAACAATTTTTCAGCTTGTGTTATACTTTTATTGAACAGAAATTTTAGTAAGACAACGTAGTTTCTCTACTAGTTCCTCTACATTTGCTAATACTTTACTTCAACTTTGCAGAGTTTCTTTTGTTGTGATGTTTTAATGATATAAAATACTGCCTACTATTATCAACGTAAAGTTGTCAGGAAAATGAAGTGTATTTAAAACATGGCAGCGACTCATTTTGCATGCAATATGATGTCACAAGTTAGATAAATTGGTAATAGCATAGACTTCACTTCAGTATTTTTAGAGTGAAAGAGTCATACATAAAAGGTTTTAGAAAGCATTCATTTCAAAAGTTCTGATCAATGTAAATATAATTTAATTAGCAAAGTTTTCGTTACATTGGCACTTTAATGGTGTTCAAACAAGGTTTGAGAGAATAATTGTTGAGTTTTTGCTGCTGATCGAATTTCAATGTTCATATTTGTTCACATTTGGCAATGTTTAAACATTAGATAGTTTATCTAAAAGATGAGTGTCGAGAATGGAAAGAAAAATTAAATGAAGTTATTTTGCTATCTTCTTCTAGAAACAACTTTTTAGACTCTCGAAATATGCTCTCAAAATTTAAATTTAATATTTTCGAAACACGTAAGGTTATTTCCCAAAAAAATATATGAAGTACTGCAGAAAGAAGTTTTTGTGATTAATTGTATGGTATAAGCTAACCTCAAATGTTGTCGGATTTGATTGTACAATTAAAGAACTTGTGATTTGTCGAATGGTTGTTGATAAGTTTTTTGAAACATTTGCTGTAGCTAATAATATCCTTTCTGATTGGGAAAGTTTAAGCTATTTTGACGTATTTATTTCATTTCTTTCACCCTTGAATATAATATTTTATCTAATTTTTTTAGAATTGGTGTTGCAAGAGTGGAAATACATTGATGAATCAACGAAACATAGAGAATTGTTTTTAAAATTGATTGAATATGGACGCAATTCCGGTGTTGAGGTTAAAGAGGTGGGCAATGTACGAGTAATTTTCTCAAAAGAGTTTTGCATTGGCGAAGGAAGTGGTGCAACCCGTGTTTATCTTGGACTGGGTAAGGATGGTTATGGTAAAGCAGTGAAACGAATACATCAAGATAGATACAAAGAGCTTGCGCAGCAGGAAAAGGAAATTTTAAATCAATTCAACGCAAAAAAATCGAAATATGTTGTGAATTATTCCTTCTTAGAAGAAGATACTGGAACGGAGTATGTCTACTTAATATTAGACTTATGTGAAGAGTCGTTGGAGAGTTATGTGAAATCTACTTTGGAAGATCTTCAAAAAGCTCTTCCCAAAATTCTCAGACAAATTTTGCTAGGATTAGCTGATCTTCATAACGCCCCAAATCCTATTCTTCATAGGGACTTAAAGCCCACCAATGTTCTCCGAGACACACAACACAACTTTCTTATAGCTGACTTTGGCATTAGTCGAATATTAGAAAATGATTCTACGACATATAAAAGCAGTCCTAACATGGGAACTGAGTATTGGATTGCTCCTGAATCATATTGTGAAGATGAAGATACATTTCATACGGGACGGTACAAGAAACAATCTGATGTATATGTAAGTGCAGGAATATAACCATTTTTACTTCATGCATATATACAGTCAATTTGTGACTTTACATTGTTAATCTTTTTAGAATGCAGGAATGGTAGCTTATTATATTGCAACAGAAGGAAAACACCCTTTTGGGAAGAAACGGCTTAGATTGGACAATATGTTAAAAGGAAACCCTGTTGGTTTGGATGAAATCAAGGATGAAACTCTAAAGGACCTTTTGTCGTGGATGTTAAATCTGAAACCTGAAAACAGACCATCTGCTACCGTGGCGTTAAAACATCCATTTCTTTTGTCGGATGGCGAGAAATTTGACTTATTATGTAAAGTTGGAAATCTTCCGCAGATTAAGACAAATGATCCCCTGTGTAGTGTCGTTCAACAATTGAATAGTGAATCCTCAGATTGGAGAAGCCAAATGGATAGTGATGTTTATGATTATTTGGTGAATAAAAGGACCTATAAATCTTCATGGACAGAATGCTTAAGACTTATTCGAAATATTGACCTGCATTGGAAGGATCTAACAAAGCGAAAACGAAAACCAGAACCATTTTATAAGATTGGCGATTACAGGGCGTATTTTCTCCGAACATTTCCTAATCTCCCTGTTCGGGTACATGCTGCTGTCAGGTCAAATGAAGAATGGAAGAACGACAAGGGACTCGAGAAATTTTTTAATTTTACTGAAAGCTAACTAAATCAATAAACAATTTAGATATAACAGAACCTGTTAGGAGTGAAAAAGTAGCTATTAAGAAATCGTTGATACTGTAGAGATCATATATTGTAGATATAAAGAAAAACAGTTTCCACGACGTATTTAGATAATATTTCACCACATTTCTGGTGAATCTTTAGCCCGTGGTATTCATTGATACAATGTAATATACCTGATTATTTAATTTTTACTGTAAATTGTTTTGGAAAAAGACTGAAGGTGAACATGACATTAAAAGTTAACTTTTATACTTGGCTGCACTGATGAATTTTGCTCTACATTCATCCAACATACTAAACTCGTATACGAAAAATAATTGTATTTCTGAAATTAGTATAATTACTAAAAGTCTGGCCTTGGTGTTTTGGGCTCTTGGGAGTTCCTTGTCTTAAAAACCTGACCATCAGATGTTTTGCATAATTCGATAAATAGAATATTTTGTGTTTTACTATCTCACATTAATGTCGTAGCTAATCCATATAAAATAGTTGAATTAAATAACATTTCCTTGAGATTGAGTGATTGACAGCATTTTGTCTAATAATTTGTATATGGACTCAATAATGTTTTAATTAGTTTTATAGAAAAATATTCATAGTTGTAATCATTTTCTGATATTTTGCTTATTTCATGCGCTGTAACCATGACAATGATTTTGTGCCTAAATCCATACAACTAAAATGCAAGTGCTATGTACTTAAAATTTCTTAAACGAATATTGAATATACACCTAAATACCCGTAAGGTTAACTACGGCGCTCTCTATTGCCTATATTCTAAAAACTCTCTCACTCTCATTTACTGAGTAATGTTTCAAAATAATTTTATAACTGCTGGAAGACCTTGTATTTACTCCCCAGATAGAAAATAGTGCAAAGTTATGTTGACTTTATCATCTCAGATCCCATATCATTTGGTAGGTATCCGCACATTAATGTCACATGAAAGCACCCAGTAATAGTTGTGTGACAGTTTTAGTTGAAAGTTTTGTAAATCATTTATAAAAATTTTGAGCTTTTGGGCTTTTTATATTTTATTGAGTAACTTCGCAAAGAGCATACTTTATATTAACAAAAGAACGTAAATAACTTCTAAATGACAAAGGTCAATGCTACAGTCTTTAAAACATAAAATTTTCATCTCATGGGCACTTAAAACGTCATAAGTAATTGTACATTTCCAAGTATAACATCTGGCTAAATTGTAAGGGATATTCTGTGCCACTTAGTAAATATGTATGCTTTATAACTTATGAAGCGGTAGATAAAGATGATAAACCACCTGCTAAAATTCACTATCCACCAGCTAGAGGACCAACTTTCACTTGAGGGAAACGAATGTAAATCATAATACCATTTACCCCCAAAATTGGATGGAAATGTCAATAATTATTATGAACATTTTTAGAGAGCCAAAATTTAAATTAATCAAGTAGAAGCATTCGTATGTACTATTATATGTCAGGAAAAAATGGCTATTCTTTTCTACACATAAACTACATAAAAAGAAATAAATCATCTTCGTTACTTTAAAGACTTCTTCCGAGTGAATGAATTTCAAAAAAATTCGTTTTAAGATTGGACCACATACATTTGCCAATAAATATATAACTCAGAACATAATAATTTAAATACATGTTTAGCCATAAATGCCTTTCCTATTGAAATGTACAATTTGAGGTGCTTACGTCAGAAATTACTTAAAAACTACAACTATAATATGGGTATTTTTTACACAAGAATAGTGTATTGGGAATGGAACCCAAAGACTAAATTGTACCATTCCTAAAAGATGTGAGTACCATTTTTGGTAAATTAAAGCTGTTTAGAATAAATTAAACAGATCATCAATTCGTAAAATAATTCAGAAATTTTATCTTCCGAAGATGGTCACACGATCAAAAATAGCTCAAGGTCAAACGGTTAAAAATGGTTCGTGTTCACGTTAACTTTATCGGGAGCACGTACTCTAAACAACTTCTTTCACAAAATGAATTCTGTCTTTAGTTTTGATGATTGTATAAAACATGAAGTAGAACTTTAGTCCCTTACCAAGGTCACTGTTTTTTAGACTTAACCGAAATAAAAGATCTCTTATGGCAAAACCTAAAAGGTATAAACCAAAACCGAACACAAATTAACGAGAACTTGGAGAATACTGAACAGGAAAAAACCACGAGGGATTTTAGCCGAAATTCCGCACCCCGGGAGAACCCTTACAAACAATAAACTTTACATAACTTTGAAGCGATTCAAAAAGCCAAAAAAGTAAGAAAAAAATTAAAATGCACTCTCAAGGCTGAAAATATGGTCTTGAAGGTATATAGTCATTTTTGTAAAATAGGAGGACCGGTAATCAGGAGGACTTGACCGCCCATTCTTGTTAATTGTTCGGAGGACTTTATTTACGTATATTGTCCTTTCTTGCTCATTGGTCGGAGGACTTGACTGTCCTTTCTTGATCATTGTTCGGAGGACTTAACTGTCCTTTCTTGATCATTGGTCGGAGGACTTGACTGTCCATTCTTGTTAATTATTCGGAGGACTTTATTCAAGTATATTATTCATTCTTTATAAGAGTTTCTATACAATAAGATGATAGAAGATAACGTCAGCTCACAATATACTGCCAGTGAAATTAATGACAAAAATTAATAACGTAAAAAATACTTACTCTTAGGATTTTATTCAGACTTCACGCAGCTCATGAATATAAAAATTTTACCAAAAGTACAAAATTTACAGCTTTAACGCACAAATTGCTCATTTTTATATGTGACTCAGCCTGAAGGGAATGATGAACGAAAGCCGCATCGATGCATATCCACCGTCGACAATAATCACTTTCTTTATAGTTATGCAAGTCTATCATCGTGGTGAATACAAACCACAAACATCATTTTTTGTCAACAATATTTGATAACGATTTTGTCTTTAACAGAGAAATGTTCATGTCTAAAATCAAGAATGGAACAAAAATTAGTTTCTAAATCTAAGGTCTCATACTTTATATGAATAAAGATCACAGTGTCGTTTACATTTACCACTTCAATAGAAGAAAGATACTCTGTTAAAACCAACATTTATCACACACATTTACCTCAATGAAATTGGTTTCAATAAACACAAGGAGATATTTCACAGACAAAGGGTTTTGACTTCTTTTATCGTTTCTTTCTGCACGTACTGTTGTACTGACTCTTATGACACGATCTCAGGCAGTTAGCTTTAAAATATGTTACAAGTTGCTTAAACGTGTTATCTTCTGATTGGTCAGTTCCTAGGTGTGTTGTCTTATGATTGGGTAGTTCTTAGGTTTGTCGTTAAATGTGTTTCGCATTTCTTACTGCACTTCAACCAACGCTTTACAGGGCTTATCAGAGAACGGAACACCTTAAGGAATTAACGTACTGTGAAATTTCAATACATGATCACGATTCTAATCCTGTTGGTGCCTAAATACTGTTCCTGTTCAAGAAGTTACATTCAATTTCAAGAAACAGAAAAGCTTTCATGTTCATAACTGAGATATGCAATATATGAACGTATAGCTTGCGATTCTTTATGCACCCATGGTCTTACCAATAGCATATAATGATTGGCATTGAAATAATCACAAAAGGTCAATTTATAAATGTCTATTTTTTCTACTACGTTCTGTAAAATTAGCTTTATAATTAGCATTCATTGTGTTTTGAGTATTTCAGTAGTACTTCTCATTCTCGTATATTCTTTCCTGAGGGGTATTTTGTATATTCAGGGAATAGTTCTGTTGGTATTCTGGCCCTCCTATCATATGTCATAACAGTATGAGCTGGGAGTGGAGGACTGGCAGTACTAATGGAACTGAGTTAAATAGGAAATCGGTTAAAATAGCTCTTCTCCCTGAGACTTCGTGCTTCACTAACATCCTAAAGAATATCATCTCAAGCAACATCTTAGCGCTGTTATAGACTACACCAAGTATATTTCAATGAAAAACTTATAATGATCACTGTTTATGTTATGAGATTAGTAGGTAATCTAGTACATCTACGAAAGAAATCATGAAGAATATATGACGTAAGTTTGAATGAGATCTTGACGGTCGACAAATACGAGTTGCATTGACGTATGGGTAAAGCATGAACAAAGTCTTTGACGGAAAGAGTCAAAATTCGGTAACCTTCACACCTCGTTAAAGCTGTTTGAAGACAAGGACATCACGGTGTTGAGTTTACATTTGGGAATTTTACGTGCAAAATATTGGCTGGTAAAGTGAGGAAGAGAATAAAAGAGATTATACGGAAGTGAGTCGTGTCCAAGAGATGCCAGGAATAGCGTTACGTAATCCAGAGACTCCTGATTTACCAGAATGCAGACTGTGAGTGATAGACAAAGCGGTACCACTTGACGTGAAGATGAAGAGAAAATCCTTGACAAATCACTTTCAAAAAAGTCAGTCGGGCACAACTGACTACAGTCCTGGACTACAATCTAGTTATGTTATTCAAGTGATACTTTTATATTATCTGCTTCTCGCGGGCAAAACTAGAAGGTTGAGTGGGGCGTGTGTCAGTGTAAATATTCAAGTATTCAGCTCTGCCCAACCGATTTCTTCTGAAAGCAATTGTACTTTTGCTACATGGGAGGCTGTTACTTTCAGCCCTGCTTTCAAGGAAATGGTAAGTGGATAATATGGGGATGGTGCAGAACCCAAACCAGGGGAATCTGGCTTACTGTCAGCTAACAAATCCTGACGATTAAAGCGCGTGAAAGTTTGATACTAAACTCCCAATGATTTATCTGATTTTCTAGTCGATGTATAGAAAACTTAGATGTCAATGATACCTTATAAACCGCGATGATAATATCGACATTTTATATATGATGACTTTTTGAGGAAAATGGTGATCTGGCAAGCAAGTTCAGTCTGTAAAACTCATTCACTGCATCCACGATGTACATAAATGTATTAATATACCCACACAATAGTTTGCATTCAGTCAGAATTATTTTATTTGGATAAGAATAAAATTGATCTCTTATAAATATCTTGCCGATGTAAGCTTGGACGCTTATCAAAATATCTTTAAAAATTTAGATAAATCTTCAGGCTTTCTTAATTCTTCACAGAAATATTTTAATTTACCATATAAATATAATATTCTTATTCCAAGAAATTGCCCGCACGGTATCAATTTTTGAAATTAGACCTTATTATTCACTAAATTTACTGTTATATAAAGTTGTGCTAATCTAATGTATTAGGTATGTCAAAAACCATGCGTTGTTCATGTGTTCTTCACATGGTTGGTCATATGCTTGTTCACGTGCCGAAAATCATATGACATTTAATATATCATTCATTCATACGCTTACATCATTCATTCATACGCTCGTAGTGGGAGCGTTGTCGGTGTGTATGAAAATACAAATGAGAGCAGCAAGGATTGCGTTTGTTTTTTTAAAGGCTTCTCTCAACGATCTTTTACAGTCAGTTAAATGATCTCGTGTCATTACAAAGTGGTCGACTGAACAAACAAGGATATAAACATTATTTAAACGACGTCAAAATTTTATACAATATATAAACCGCTTGCCCTGAAGGTAAGAAATATTTTTATCTTCAGTTATGCTTACTTTGCTTGAATTATACAATGATTACAATCTCAAATTCGATAAAGTTGGAATAGCATCAGTATTACCACTGCAAAAAAATATTTTACACTCCGTATAAAGTAGGCATTTATTCTAAACGTTTCCTTCTAGTCTTACATACTACCACATATTCTACTGATTATGAGATATGTAATATATAACAATCGTTGAAATGCTTAGAATAAAATGCTGTTTACTTTATACGGAGTGTCAATATTTGTGCTTTACCAAAATATCAGACTATCAGGGCTTTTTTATGAGTCTATTCTCTGAAACACTATAAACTTCACGAACGATTATTCATGAATACGAGCGTGGCTTATATAGTATAAAATACGCGATGGTTAGGGATCCCATCCGACATCGGATCTTTATTTTTCATGGTTATACTTCCGACAATCCTTCATGTACAATCTTGTAAAAATTACAATTTGTAGAGCTTATGAAGACGAATGCCAAAATCATGTCAAATGTCAAGGCTAACCGGGTTCGAATTACGGCCAGCCATGTCATTCATATAATCTGTCGAATGAGATAAATATATTTTCTTTCTTAATGATTTAATTTTTCATCTTTTTACAAACCAAAGCAACAACAGCGTTCTCACGTGTGCTATTCAGGGAAATTTATGGGGATATGTAATATTACTCATAATTTTTTCAAATGAGATTTGCGTTCGTAATGATTTCATTTTATTATTATATTTATATCCTTAATTTAAAAAAAGCGATTTTCTTACAACAATTCACTCGTGCCTGATAAACTATCAAAATATTTTTGTTTGAATATGTTTTCTTTGAAAAACAGATTTCACCAGTGTCAACAATGGCTGGAATCAAGATCAGCGATGCAGATCGTGAAAATATGGATTCAAAATTTATATGTAGTTTTTGTCATTACCTCCTTGTCAATCCTTTACAGACCTCGTGTGGACATTTGTTTTGTAAATCTTGTATTGACATCTTGCTTGGGTTAGATAAACATAAATTCTTAAGTTAAATTTTTCTCCAAATCATCTTTGAAATGATATGAGATTTAAAGATGATACTTGTCATATTTACACTTTCAAAGATGCCATGATTGCAATATCCTATCACTTATCTCAATGTTGTATAATATATCTGAATGTTGTATCCTGTTTGGGCTCTATGGGAGCATTTATTGAACATAATTCCTAAAGAAATGCTGTTAGAATATTATTGAAATAAATAGAGATTCCCATATATGTATCTCTTTGTTGTATCTCAGATTTCAATGTTGAATCACATATCACAATGTTGTATCAAATATCTCAATGTAACATAATATTAATCCTGACATGGTTTATATGCACATGAAAAACATGTGACTTGGACTAGATTTGAACTCACACCTTCGGGATACTAGGTTTAGCTATGTTATTCTCTGATGATGGTTTTGGAATGAATATCTCAATGTTGTAACACATATCTCAATGTTGTAACACATATCCCAATGTTGTATCACATATCCCAATGTTGTATCACATATCTCAATGTTGTAACACATATCCCAATGTTGTATCACATATGTCAATGTAAGAAGATAATTTTTAACCCTTAAGAGGTTGTAGCATATCTTGTACCAAATGAAATAAAAACCAGCTATAGAGAAAGTTTGCCACATTAAGGGTTTTTATCCTAAATTTCTTCCTATTTTAATATGCATAACTGCATTTCAATTTCTATATAATATTATGCAAATCATATGCTGCAAAATTTTTCATATCATGTTAGTTTAAGTAGTGCCTCAAAATTGTTATTTGGGTTTTTTGACGTGATAGTTAGAAAGTAGAAACAGTTGCCAAATCTTGCTCAAAATAGCAACTCATTTTAAAAGGTGGTAAATTTGTCAGACATGCATGAATGAATTTTGCTCCCCTTTCCTCTAGGCACCAACTGTGGAACAGGTTACCACATTGTTTGAAATTCACCATTTTTTTAACAGTTTTTATATTCCTTTAATCTGTATTGGTCCTAATCCAAAATGTCCTGAAGATCAGGAAAAAAGTTGAGCAAGAATGAGGTAGGTGGAAATATTCCAAAGTTTTAACAGTTTAATCTACTAGGTGGCTGAAATTCACCATTTTTCCTGTTGCTTGTAAATATATATTTCAAATGGAATTTAATAGTTACAGTCGATTTTAACATATTGAGGATTAGTTTTGTGCACAAAGATGTAATTCATTACTATGAAATGTACTCTTTTCAATGTAGTTTTTCTTGCATGTTTTTTTTAAGAAAAATAAGAAAGATTTGTACCAAACTTACATTGATGATTTATTGTTTCATTGAACGTCTTATGCAAACTTAAATTGTGGTGAAGTAACTTTATCTGTTGTTGCAGTCTTGTGACCTAAAAGATAAATTTCTTCAAACTTAAATAGGTTTTCCCGGATGCTTTCACCAAGCGTGAAATGAAAAAGATTCAATTACATTGTCTCTCTGAACAGTGTAAATGGTTTGGTGCCTACGAAGAATTGGAAGTGAGTTGCGTGAAGAAATTTATCAAAAGATTGTTGTCTTACTTATTAAGTTTCTTTTTTGTCAGGGTCATTATCAAGTTTGTGAGCATGCGCTCATCAGCTGTATACACAAGCAATGTAACATTCAGTTACCTCGCTCTCTTCTTGGTGAACATTTGAAGAATGATTTTGAATATCGAAATGTAAAATGTGAATATTGTGGTAAAGATGTCCCGTATGCTTCACTTAAGGTATGCAGAATATTTGTCCATTGATCACATGAACACAGCAAGATGAGATAAATAGTCTAATGTGTATCTTATTATACATCTGTATACTGATTATTGTTGTTACTTGACAAAAAGAATCAACTCCTTTTTAACGCCTTTTAAGAAATTAGATTGAACTTTATATCCACCAAACAGTCGTTACCTTGTATTTTCTTGCCATGTAGGATCATAAAGAAAATGTATGTGAAAATGCACTCATCACTTGTAAATATTGCAATCAAATGATACCCAGGAAGGATATTGAGCACCATGAAAGTACAATTTGTGATGAAGTGCCCACTGATTGTGAATTTCAAGCTATTGGATGCAGTCGTGACAAAGTAAGAATATATGAACTATTTTACAATTTCATATCTGCAACGAAGAAACGTATCTGCAAAATTCTTTGACCAAAAACGAAATTTTATTGAAAGTTCCAAAGAATATAACATTAACATTTCATGGAATTGACATTGTTTTTAACAAATCATTTATGCTTGCTCAATATATTAAAAAAACGTTTTCTATTGAACCCTGACCCTCTTCCGTTTTTCGAGGTTGAAATTTCTGTTTGTTTTTTTTTTCTGTGATACTTTGTGCTGCAAAGCTATATTAGCACGAACCCCCGAGATGTTTAACTAAATTTATAGTCTACTACAAACAGTTCAAAATTGTCCACTTTTCCTCATACAACATTTATATAACCATCTGATCATAATGGCGTCCAAAAGCTTTACGTGTCAGAAAGTAGGTTAGTATCGGTTCATTAGGTTGTCCATTTGGAAGCAGTGTTTTTTCGTGTATTCTCCACCTATTTTGATGATTAAACGTTTTGAAGGAAATGGTACTTGACATCGTTATCGTGTTTAGATTGAAGTAACTGGCAGCTAAATATTTTGTTAAAAGAATATGTTTTCATTGCTATTTTTATTTTTCCTTCGCAGACATTAAAACGAAAGGAGATCCAACAACATATGAAGGACAATCTAATTGATCACGTGTTCGCCTTGTTACGATATGTTAAAGCATTTCTTACCTTGTTAAGTAACTATGTACTACGCCCAGAGTTTACCAATGCTGTTCAAGACTTGGGTGACCGAATCACAGCTGTTCGTTCTAATCTCTCAGAAAAATTTTTTATGCTAGTAGGAAAACTTACCGGCCTGGAAAGGAAGATCGAGAGTCTAGAAAGGAGAATTGAGAGTCTTGAGAATCGTGGTGAGCAAAATCGAATAGCTTCCCTTGAGAGTCAAGTTACTACAATTTCCGCAATTATACAATGGATGTGGGAGCGTTTGGATGAGAGGGGTGACTTACCGGAAGAACTCCATGATGCGCGCGCACTTTGATCTATTGGCCCAAGCTCTTCTACAATTAGTCCAGTAAACGAAGGATGTTTTGTATGGTGAAGTTAGACAAAAATAATAGACAAAATAGTTTCTCGCCTAAAATAAGGCTTACAAAGAATTTTTTTCGCGTGAAATCTCTTTATTTTTGTCAGTTTAGTGTACACATTCACTTAAACTTCTTAAATTTTATCAAAACTTTTCTTATAATTTGACCTTAGGAAAATCCAAGATCGCTGCCATCGGACAAATCAAAGATGGTCCTCGTTCAATATTTGTAAGCTAAGAAACTGTAAGGAAGTACAATTTTTGTTTTGAAACTGCCTTCACAGTTCTATCTGATTATTTGAAAAGGCTCGAAGGAGTGGTAACCTTACTCATTCTTACGGGACAAAGACCAGAATTGGACTTCTGCTATTCTGTTTCATTGCGAGAAAGATCCACACAGCACCATGCTTGCACTTGATGTTAGGTGCGTTGACAATGGAACCTAGCAGAATTTGAAGTTGGCGGAAGTTTCTTCGGAAGTAAAAACCCTGTGTAAAATGCGACTTATTCTGGAACTTCTGTACACATGCGGATGCTAAACTTGATAATGGTGTACAACCATACGTATCAAGTAGGGATTTCTCGTCAGATCGATTGCCGCCTTTAAAAAAGAAGCACTCATGAACACTGTACAAGAATTTTTAAGGGTTGCAAACTTCTTCAGCACAGCCACCTCAACAATGCCATGTGGTGGGGACGTAGTGTCAAAGCAACTGATGGCAAGTTGGGTAGTTATGCATGCAGTTTTTCTCGTCATTTTCACTTTATGTCGCTAAATGTGAGACAACTTTAAGACATCTGTATCTTTGGATAATTGGAGGTATGGCAGGCCATTCAGTTAGTGAGTACAAATTTTTTCAAAAACCTAAGACGAAAGTCAAAACTAAGTCAACAAAGCTATTAAGTCAAAACCCTAGCGTCTGCAGTTGATATAAAAACTGCTACTGGAAGCTTCAATATGTACTTGCGGCTAATTAGTGTCAGAGAGAACTCCCTCTTCCTGAACTATTGGAGCATGAGTTGTGTCCTTTTCCTATATCCTTATATATAAACAGCTTGCGTATGCTGTTGGAGATGCAGATTATAAAATTTGCCTTGAAGCGTCTCACTTTGCATTGAATAATTAACCAACAGCTGTCGTAGCCAAAGATACTTATGTCTTTCTGTTGTTGGTTTAACATTGGGATCTCTCTAGTAGTGACCTCTAAATGAAAAGGGAAAGGACGAGACTGACTGTATGTACATCTCCCCTAAAGAAGAAACTTGATCTAATCCATTCAAAAAGTTTTCTTTTCTTACATGCCATCATTTGCTGTGATACTACTTCTCCACCACTTCACATTGTCAATGCGACTGTGCTGAAGAAGTTTTCAACCCTTAAAGATTCTTGCACAGTATTCATGAGTGCTTCTTCTTCATAAGCAGAAATCGCTAAAGCCTAAGACAAATCCTACTTCATATGTATGGTTGTAGCTACAACATTATCAAATCTAGTATCTGCTCGTGTACAGAAGCTCCAGATTAAAGTCACAACTTCTATAAGGTTTATGCCCCTGGAGAAGCTTCTGTCAACCTCCGATGCCGCTAGGTTCTATTGCTACTGCACCTACCATCAAGTGCAAGCTTGGCAGAGGTTGGATCTTCCTCTCAATGCATGGGGATGGCAGAAGTCTAATTCTGGTCTTTTTTTTATAAGAATGAGCAAGGAGACCGCTACATCAAGCATTTTCAATATAATCAGATAGAAGTGTGATGGCAGTTTCATAGCAAAAGGTGTTGTACTTGCTGCAAGAATGAGTTGAACTATACAACTGCCTGTGGGCAGCTCAAAAGAATCATGTGTCTAAATAACTTGCAAGAGGAACAAAGGAAAGAAAATGGCGATGATGACACAGTTTTCTTAGTTTACAACATTTACACATAGTGAACGCGGACCATCAATGACTTGTCCAACGGCGGCCATCTCAGTCGTCAATATTCCTACGGTCATCATTTTATAGGGTTCCCATGGATAGAATCAGGTTGGGTTTTATAAATACTTTGACTATCGCAAATAGACATATTCTGGGTGAGAAAACTTCGATATCATTTTTGGGTAACCTCTGTCATTTGCTTTCTGGACTAAATAGCGCGGTAACTAAGACCTGTATATAATCACTTTGGCAAATTTCAATTCAATCACATCAGTACGACTTTTCACTATATTCATTCGGTAGTTTTGAAGAGTGTTCATATTTCTTAAGGATTTGCTTAGCGAAAAGCCTTTATGTCATCAGGTCTTTGAGATAGATAGTAACAGATGACGTATTGCGTATGGTTCCGAAATGAATATTCGTGAAATATTATTTTCGTAAAGTACTCTGACAAATGAACATATTATCACTGAATTTGAGGTGGACAAATTTGTAAATATCATAATTGATTTTGTTGTGTCAAAAATTGTAAATACGTAAGAATATTAAATATACTTGCATAACTAAACCATACTTCAGTGTATTTCGTAATTTTCATTGACAAAATAGCAAATCCTCATTCAGTGGCTATTTGTTGTTAATGTGCGATGATCGATGATGGTTGAATATCTTTGTAAATTAGTAATAAAATGCTTTGTAATGATATTTTATATTGTATTTTGTATGTTTCATTTTGTAAGATAAAATAATAAAAAAGCCTTTTAAAAACACGAGCACCGGTTGTTTTTATTACTCTTCAGAAAGCGGTGGATCCAGGAAGGATTTTTTCGATGGGTGCTTGTCTTAGTGATCACTTAAACTTCAGTTGTTCAATTATTTATCAATTTATTCATTTTTGTATATGCATACTATAGTTATAAATTCAAAATAACTATCATTTACTGTAAATAAACTATAATGATATACAGTCCATGTAAAGGCTTTTTCCATGAAAAGTAGAATAGAATTTAACTTATTTTTGCAATTTGTACCCCTGTTGACCATTACCTAAAGGGGTGAGTACCTCTGTGAATGCCTTTCCTATAGATCCATCACTGTTATAAAGAAGGAAATTGTTTTCAATTTCCTAATTATTGTAGATTGTACTGTTGTTAGTTAATAATTCATAATAGTTTATAACTCAGGGCTTATAACCCAAAAACAATCCTTGCAAGCTCTTTATGGAGTTGCCAACAATTGGAATTGGAACTGTGTTTCCTTAAAAATCGATAACGTGGGAAGCCATGCTATCTTGGTCATATACACCGTGATTAATGTTTTGTAGCTATATTCGTTGTTATTCAGGGTCAGGATTTATGAGTAAGGCTACTCCTGTATTATCAACCGTGAACGTTCCATAAGCACGACTTGTGCTTGGGAAATCTACAAAATTTGACATGAATTCATGAAACTTCCAGAAGAATCAATGTCATTTAAAGTGTGTAAATATAGTAAGAGCGAATAATTTCTATTTATCGCTATCGCCATTCTTATTTGAAAGATAGTTATGTTATCTAAATTAAAAGCAAACACGACACCATAAAGCACAATAAATGTTGATTCCATTGTTAGCTACAGAAAATTATTCACTTTTCTTACCTTCACCCATTTTATTTGTTTCCCCATGGTATTCATCAGTTACTCTCAAAACCGCCTCCCACCGTAGATTACCTCTAAGTTAATGTGCGATCAGTGGCTTTCTCGTATCGGAAGATGTGTGGTGTATACGGTTTTGATTATGTCTTATTAAAACGATTGTACTTCATGATGTTACCCCAACATGGACGCTTGACTTTAAATTTTACCACGACATTTATTGCACTCGCAGGAATATTTACCCTCTTTCCATCACCACTTACTTCTTCTGTGACTTTTCGTCCGTTTTAATAATAGGTTACGATCATCTTTCAGATCCAGATTCCTTTGGAGTAATATTTAATGGTTTTTCTGAGCAATTGTTCTTTGCTTTCATCACCGATAACTGCTTGTTTTTCACTTTGATGTAGTTTACTCAATAATATGTTCGCATCTCTATTCTTTACATGCTTTGCCAGTTTTTCGAAAATGTGCATGGAAGGTTTATTAATGGCGGCTTGCGACCCACTAATGGCAAGATGTTTACCGATGAAGCGCAATAATTTATCTAGTTTTTATAGAGCCAAAAAGAATAACAATAGTTCGGATGCGTCGCCTTCAATCGTTGGTGATGTTGCCGATGAATCACCATTGACTAAAGCTTTAGTGGCCGCACTTCGCCACCTCCTACTATTCTTAATACTGCTCTTATCAAACCAAGGAATAGGGCATGGAAGGCGAAATCCTTTAGAGTAATCCTAAGCAACAAACAGTTTATTGGTGGTTTGTGCTGCTTTATTACCGACATTCGTCAGAGCTGATTGAATGGCACTCAATTGTAGATCACGCCTTCTAGCTGCACTGTTTAATTTCCCCCAAATTTCGGTGATTACTAATTGCTCATCCCAGCTTGTTCAGACAACGTTGATTGATAATTGAGGCCAGCTTCTTGTTGACGATTGGTGAAGTTTTTTCCGTTTCGTCAAGTGTTTGCGAAATCTCCTCCTGTAGCTGTTTTACTGCAAGCTGTTCTGTTTCAGAACTGCGCTTGGTTGCAGGTTCTTTGTTTTTTTGCCAACAAGACTTCGCAATCTGAGTCATGCCTTGATTCTGAGACCATTGGCGGATCTGGGGTTAGTCAAAATAACTTATTGCGGCACATTTTGGCATATATTTACATTTCTAAGGCCCTTTGAAGCATATCCATTGGTGAAATTCAAAACCAATAGTGTTTTTCTGAAAGTAATTGGACTTTAAAATGAAGGAGCTATAATTTATTTTGACGTACGCTGGATCCGCTACTGCAAGACTTAAGCACCTTCTTTACTCTTACGAGTAGATTCTACCGTACCGGATTGTGATGTTTGCTGCATTAACCTGAATGATTCACTAATTGCTGTCATTGCTTCACTCATCCTACAAGGGTGGTTGCTATAGCTACATTCAAATGTCATCAATTGATGTGACTTGCAACTCTTCGCTTTCTTCAATGATATTATTTGTTCATGGTGTTCAGTGCTGCTTCATCTCCGACATCATCTTTTGTCGTATACTCTATACTTGTAGAAACCATAATTCAAAAATTTTTAAGATGGAAAGGCAGGGCTGTGAAAGCAGCGGGTGTACAAAACTATACCGTTTCCGTTACGTGTGAACACCTAACCTAAGAGTTTCATTACAGTTAGACGAAAACTTTTCCCAGCTAAAAATGACAATCATGACAGCGATAAATATGGTCATCAAAAATTTGTAAACTTCGGATAAATATAACTCAAATAAATTGAAAGCCGCCATACAGTTCGAAACGGTATGAAACTCTAATGGTAGAGTTTTGTACTGATATCATGTGAACATAGTCTAAATATTGATGAGGGATGCTTAGTCTAAACGCCCCTAATGAATATATTGATGAAGTATATTTAGAACTAAATATCTCTCATCCTTATGATTCAACAGTAAACGTCCCAGAGATAACAAATGATCCCGAGGCAACCATGTTATTATTATAGATAGCATTTGTCGGAAATATAATCGCAAATATTTGTGATGGCTGTTTTGAATTGTTTCCTTGTGTGCGGAGTGAACTCTCACTGAAAAAACTAAACTTGAGATGTATGAGTAAGCTCAAAATGATATTATTTATATTGAAAAAAAACATCTGATCCAAGTTCGACTTCAGGAATAATAGCAGTTTACTCGGTAACCGGGTGTAACTCAAAATATTTTATAGGAGCAGAATTATTGGAAATTACCATGAAATTAGTGTATTGAAAAATTCTATACATTTTGTATAAAATCCTAACCAGTGGATTTGATTTAAAATAGTTTGAAATAAAAAATTCTCCAATACTTCGTGAGTAAAGACATGTAACTTTGATAGTTATATCCATAAAATTAACAATATAAACTCTATTCTTCGAGTATTCGTATCATTAACTGGCCGTTGTTTAAGAAAAAATTCACCTCGATCGTCGCATTTACTGTTGAAACGTCAATAATTTTAGGAATTTCCAACCTCCAAATAAACAAGCATGAGTTTTAAAAGAATTAGAGTCTTCTTTGGTATGAAAATCTTTAAAAATTGAAAATTTATAGCTGCATAGCCTGCATTACTATTAGATAGCCATATTTGTTTAAGAAAAAGAAGAGGGGCCGGATAGAAGCATGGATAGCGTTGCCCATTCGATAGCAAAGGGTTAAAAAACTTCTTGGAAAGGAAAAATATAAGGATTGAACTGAGCAATTACTGTAATGTCAAAATATTGTTTCTAAGATTACAAGTTTAAAAAGTTTACCATCCAATGAATAACGTTAATCAAGCATTGTTCAACCAGCCCCAGAATTCCATGCGCGGGGGTTCTCTGATTGCTAACTATTTACTAACGCATAGTGACGTATACATTCCAAGATGGCAGCTCAAACGGGCAAAAGAACTATAATTAGTATTAAAAAGTGAGGTTTTTCTTAGTCTTCGTCGTCATACCCCTCCATGCAAGTTCTAGCCACTTTTTTGGAAATGGTATGACATTGCCAAGTTTCTGAAGTTTATATGTACTGCCTGTCATCTCCCTCTTCTTAATCAAATACAGACCTCGTGTAGACATTTGTTTTGTCTATCTTCTATCAACATCATTTGTGGACATTTGTTTTGTCTATCTTGTATCAACATCATTTGTGGACATTTGTTTTGTCTATCTTGTATCAACATCAAAGTTATTTTGAGTTACGTTTTTTTCAACGTAACTCAAAATAACTTTTTGTCCAAATATTTAAGTTAAAAAGTTGATCACGTGTCTACATCAAAGACTAAATTTCACTTGGTAATTTATAGAGTCATAAAGCTTTTTATCCTTTCTTAATATTGCAGTACATATCTTTGTGCGGTACATTAACCCAAGTTGTGCCTGAGGCTTCACACTAATATTAGTTCATGCAAATGAAACTATGTCCCTGAGAGATCTTTGTTTTTGTGCCTTAAACCATTGCGAACAATAACAACTACACTTTGTGAATTTAAATTTATTACTGAGATTAAGTCAATGCCGTACCCCACAAATGAAAATGTTGGTTCTTTTAATAAAGACATGTCACTGTTTGTGTTGACATACATGCTAAAAAATTTGGCACAACTTTTTCATGCTTAATCTGTAGAAGTTTTAATTCAAAATGTCCTGAAGATCAAGAAAATTGAGCAGGAATGAGGTAGGTGGAAATATTCTAAGGTTTTGTCAGAAGCCTCAACTATATATACAGTGCGCTATGTGCCAAAATTGTTGTATGTCAAAAGTAAATTCTAAAATTATTTGTCTCATTTGGTGATAGACAGAAAATCTTCTCGTAAGGTGAACGCCAGTGGTGAATCGATTAAAAAAAAAGAGGCAACCAGTTTCCTGAGACGACCACGAACAACCATGTTCTTTATTGCTTGTAAATTTGAGATTATCCTTTTTTACTGAATCAACGTATGGGGAATTAATACGTCCACGCAGTATAGGTTAGATATTTGGATTAAATCCCTGCTGTTTCATTTATCCCTTGTACTAACATGTACACTGAAGTGGAAGTTACGCTTTGTCAGCTGCATTTGCATTAGTTACTTCGATCCGTAAATTCCGTAAAACTATTTAGGTGTCCCCAGATGTTTTCACAAAACGTGAGTTGAAAAATATTCGTTTACATTGTCCCTCTGAAAAGTTCAAATGGGTTGGTGCTTATAAAAATTGGAAGTGAGTTGAGATGAGAAATTTATCAAAAAAGCTTAACCTTATAAAAGCTTAACCTTACTAAAGTTTTTTTTCGTCAGGATCATTCTTAAGTTTGTGAGCATGCGCTCATCAGCTGCGTACATAAACAGTGTAACATTCAGTTACCTCGCTCTTTTCTTGATGAACATTTGAGGAATGATTGTGAATATCGAAAAATGAAATGTGAATGTTGTGGTAAAGATGTCCCGTATGCTTCTCTTAAGGTACGCATAACTGCATTTTTTGTGGACGGAAATAAAATAGTTCGCTGAAATATTGACTGAAATATCCTCGATGCTTCAGGATTAAAGTTTCTATAACAAAAATTCTTGAAGAATTCGAATGTTTTATCATTTTCCCGAATTCCCATAAGGATATGTTTTTTCAACTCGCAAAGCAAGTGACGAAAAAAATCAAAATATTTTTCTTTATTTACTAATGTCAACCAGTGGCGGTAAAAATAAATATGCATTTTTCCACTTATGAAAAATTATATAAAATAAAATAAAACCAACTCTCTTAGTTCATCTTTTATTAGATATGACTAATTTTCAATCACTAAATTTTGATTGCTTTGGATTTCCTTTAATATACAGGATCACATGAAAGAAGTATGTGAATATTATCCTGTGGCTTGTAAATATTGTAATCAAATGATACCAATGAAAAATATTGAACAACATGAAAGTACAATTTGTGATGAAGTGCCAACTAAATGTGAATTTCAAGCTTTTGGATACAACTATGATAAAGTAAGACTATTTTAAATGTTTTACAATTTTATGTCAGCAATGAAATTCGAAACAACGCAATGAAAAAATGTTACTTAAAGTCAATAAAAAATTCCGTCTTAAATCCTTGAAATAGTACAGTTGTACACTACTTTTTTTGTTACATGAAGTACACCTAAGTTAGGTATTTGATTTAAGTGCGGACCATTTACGGCAGTGGAAATTTAAAATGAAACTTTTTGCGTTCCCCGTGTTAGTACTGCACTAACAATAATATTTGAACTGATTGTAACTGGGCGTCTACCAACCAAAGAAATAAGACACCAGCAGTTCACCTTATTCCAAACTTTCTCAACACGGCAAAAGTAGAAAGTGCACCACGACAATAAATCAAAATGCGAGCACGTATAGGCATGTTTATGTATAGGTGTATTCATGTATTCATGATCGATTTATGTTTGTTGAATATTTTTGGATATCACTATCGATGGGATAGCGACATCTAGGCAGATTCATGCTTTTAGCATTTTAAAGCACGGAAATGTGGAACTGAGTATTACAGGGGGGATGTGGGAAACCAATGGTATTGAAATACCGGCAACCCAATGCAAGTACATATGACACCACGTGCTAGTGATTGATCAAAGAACGCGAATCTCGATTTCTCGAAATAATGCTTTATATACACGACATTTGATCGCATTTGATAAAGGTAAGCCCATGCTTTTGAAATTTAATCATAGAAACAACAGACACGACAACTTCCTACATTTTGTGTAAATTCTGCATGCCTATGACACACATTCTGAATTCGCCCTTAACTATGCTCATTTCAAACGTTTCTGAGCGAGTACGTGCTTAACTATTTTAAAATCTCAGCTATGGTAGAATTATATGGGGTGTGATTTCACGAAAGTCTGGAATGAATGATAAATAAAGAATGCAGAATGCGGCAGAATGCAATTACATGAGAAATTTCATCCCGCTTAAACAAGTAACTCGGCAAGCAACAACTGGGATCCCGGCAAGGCGGGACAACTTGCTTGCCATGTAATCACACACTAAAATAATGCATAATACGTTTACAAATACAATCATATTGATAAAACGATGAAAATGCGACGCATTTTTAGGGGATTCAAAAATTATCAACTTTTGACAGGCAACAGTAACGCTCGTGTGACAGTAACGCTCCCTCACGCAGACCGCAGTCCAAAAGAACATCAACAAATTTTTTGTGTTTTTTAACTCCTCCAGCGATGATTATAATGTAATAGCACTGAGGCGTAAAATAAAATATCCCCCCGCGACTACAGTTCGTTTGTAAACATTACTGTCGAAACTACGGTAAATTGATGGAGTTGTGAGTTGATCGAATACTGACATAATAAGGAAATTCGTTTAAACACAAGGTGTTTAAAAAACACTAGTTCTTTTAATAACTAATTTGCGTAATTTAAATGAAAATTAATCGATCTTTTCCCAGTTATGCAAATTCTTAACTATAATTATTCATTTATCTCTAAAGTGTGAAAAGATTTACCCTCATCCAAGATGCCAGGAATCAAAATACGTGATGAAGATCGAGAAAAAACTCACTCAAGGTATTTCTGTGGTTACTGTAATCTTCTCATGGTCTATCCAATCCAAACCTTCTCTTGTGGACACTTGTTTTGTCAAGCTTGTTTTGACATCCTGCTCGGGTAAGACATTTTATTGCTTAAGTTTACAACCTTTTTAATATATTAATCCTAACACGGTTTATTTTATATGCACATGAAAAACATGTGACTTGGACGAGATTTGAACTCGCACTTTCGGGATAGTAGTCCGCCGCTCTACCCGTTGAGCTACCAAGCCCATAGGGATTGGAGACGAGTCAAATCTTTTTTCCGACTGCTTATTTGCACTTACCACAGAAACATTATTGTTGCTTATCCTAATGCTGAGTGACATATCTCCATCAATGCTTTATCACGTATCCCAATGTGGTCTCCTATATTCCGATATCGTAGGATAAATTTCAAAGTCGTCTCATATATTCAATGTTTTGCCAACATCAGTCAACTCATATCATACGCCTCATGTTAATTATGTACGCCTCGATTGACTTTTCAACAAAACGCAAACAGGAAGTACTCCTTGTTTAAAGTGTCATATAGGTGTCAAACTGGAATGTAACTTCGTCTCTAGCCGTTCAACATGTTCATCAATTATATACCCAGTGCATTTAATAGTTCGTGCGCCCCTGTGAGAGTTGGAAAAACAAAATTGTACTGTTTACTACATGAAAACGACCTGCTCTTACTTTCTCAATCGAAAATATAAAAGCAAAAAATTTCAGCGCTTACGTAATTTACCAGTTGATACTTGATAATGATGGTCGCGTTACAACAATACAACTTTAATGTTAGGTACGGTTTGCAACCGTAAATGAAATCGGAAATGAGCAATTACACAATTACAAAATTGATGGACACTTAGAAAAAAATGGTGGAGAGCCTATAAAACAATACATAGATCTTTCTAAGTTTTTACTAAAGGGGCTCTGTTCACATACTCAGTGTTAATGCTGGAGAGTCAAATATCAAACTAACAGGGAAATTCTGCTTTTGTATATGTTTACCATTTAATGATGTATATAATTGTTTGTGAAAGGAATCAATCGCCAACCAAACACATGAAACTCTAGTATTACAGATAAAAATATAAATTAACTCTATACATGTTTGTAAATGTCTCTGGGTGAGGAATATTTTTTATCCTGCTCATTAGATGAAACTAAAACGCGACTACTATCTTACGACTAAAACATTCCATAACACCTAGACGAATCCCGACCGAGACGATAGTATCAAGTGTCAAGGCTGTCCTAGCGTATCAAAGAGACTTGTCAGAGACATTCAAAGACGAGATCAGAAGCAGGATAGCCTCCACTTTACAATCATCCTCTATACGTGACAACAACTTGACAAAGCACGAACAACAAGCACTCAAACGACTAAAACATGACAACAACATCGTATCTGCAAAATTCTTTAACCAAAAACTAAATTTTATTGAAAGTTCCAAAGAATATAACATTAACATTTCATGAAATTGATATGGTTTTTAACAAATCATTTATACTTGCTCAGGTATTAAAAAAGCGGTTTCTCTTGAACCCTTGCCCTCTTCCGTTTTTCGAGGTTGAATTTTCTGTTTGTTTTTTTTTTTGGTTGTCCAGTTGAAAGATGTAATTTTTCGTTAATTCTCCAACTATTTTGATGATTAAACGTTTTGAGGGAAAAGGAGTAATAAGGGTACATGACATCGTTATCATGTTTAGATTGAAATATCTGGCAGCGAATTATTTTTTTTATAAGAATATCTTTTCACTGTTGTTTTTGCTTTTCTTGTACAGACTTTAGAACGAAGGGAGATCCGACAACATATGAACGACAATGTAATTGATCATATGAGCCTCTTATTACGATATGTACAACGTCCAGAGTTTACCACTGCTGTTCAAAACTTGGGTGACCGAATCACAGCTGTTCGTTCTAATCCCTCAGAAAAATTTGTGATGCTAGCAGGAAAACTTACCGGCATGGAAAGGAGGATTGAGACTCAGGAAAGGAGGATTGAGAGTCAGGAAAAGAGTATTGAGAGTCAGGAAAGGAGTATTGAGAGTCAGGAAAGGAGGATAGAGAGTCAGGAAAGGAGGATCGAGAATCTTGAGAATCGTGGTGAGGAAAATCGAATAGCTTCCCTTGAGCGTCAGGTTACTACAATTTCCACAATTTTACAGAGGATGTGGGAGAGTTTGGATGAGAGGGGCGACTTGCCGGAAGAACCGCATGACGCTCGCGAAGTTTGAACTAATCATCCAAAGTCATCTACATAACTTTTTACTGTTTTGTTGTTGTGTCCTGCTTGAAGTGCCCTTCTAGACTAAGATTATTCCAGATCAGTGGACGATCTGGAATAATCTCGACGGATAAGCGGAGTGGTCGGACCGATAAGGGTGTCTAATTGCTCTCGTGTAATTGCTTCGTTTAAGGTTTTATCTTACTGTGTGATTGGTTTGACCGATTTCCACTGATAGCCAACTGAGGTAACATTGTCATGCTTACTGTCTGAATTAGTGCTGCCAGATCGTGAACACTGTTCACAGAATTTGTGAACTTTTTGCTCTTTTCATGAACATTTCATGAATGTTAAAAGTTTGTAAACTTTTTGTGAACTTTTCTAAATATTACGTATTTTTGTATTTTCATCACTTTCATAAAGAATGTATAAAGTAAATGGTTTGAACCAGGGAGTATCGTTACATATTTGTAAATGTAGATCGTCCAGGCTGGTATAGTCATGAGAAGGACTGTTTTTGTTGATGTTGACTGACGTTTTTACAACCTTAGCGGTAGTCATCTTCAAAGTCAAAAAAAAACCCTGTAAAGAATGTATAGATAAATCATAGTTCAATGAAAAATCTTCATAGCTCGACAGTTCTTTCAAAACAACGACGATTTTAAGATAATCCAATGTTTTCCGAAAACTTCCGAGGGTTTTCAAATATTTCCGAGGTTTTCCGAAAAGGTCCAAGTTAATCCGTTCACTTCCGATCTTATAAATTAGATGTAATATGAACTTTTTGCCATTTTGTGAACTTTTGACGCAAGCGAGCATGAATTTTTAAAATTTCATCTGGCAACATTGATTTTAATTGTATGTTTGATCGTTTCATAGTAATTTGCTAAAGCATGATAGAAACTATAATCAGCGCCACCGCAGAAATTTGGGAAAATCTTTTACAAATTCACATATTCACATGAATGCTGCTGTCCAGATTGCGATTTTTTCAAGAGGGTGAAAAATTTATGAATGAATTGTAAATGTTCGGGCAAAGACGCGAGAGACATTTCAGTCATTGATGTTCAAAAGCAAGCCATCATTTTGTTAGAGATTTCTCAGCAGAAACTTACATCCAAAATAGTAAGTAAAGGACAACTGAAGTGTATGCATGAATGTAAAATGTCAAAGTCAATTTATGCGAGTGTGTGATGCGATTTATGTCAATATGGCGTATGGTAAGCAGATTGATGCTTCTAAAATTGTTGTTGCCGAAGGACTTTTATGTATGATTTCTATAGTGCTTGGTGAATCTCGGCCGTTATATCGCCAAGTATTTCAATGGAAAAAATCTGTAGCTATAAGGTGCCATGTTATTATATACCTTATTATAAACAAATGTTTTGGGCTTTTCAGTTTATGATCATAGATCATTCAATCATTGGACAATTATACTACACATTGTTTAAGATTTGAGAAAACTAACATTGATTACATGAGAAGCTGTTTACTATAACCTGTGATTTTGAGTCTTCTGATCCATGAAGCTTTTTATTTTGACAATTTGACTGGAATAGTATTAAACCTGAGTATTTCACATACATGAAATGTTGTCCCATGTCATATATTGTCCCCTTTTCTAACTGAACACCACATGTAGAGATGTAAAGGTGTGTTGATCTACGGCTCATACCAGATTGTTTGCCATAAATTCCTAAGGGCTATTGATGTATGAAAAGCATTTTCTATAAAGTAAAGATGTGTTCCTACGTATGCAGATAAGCCTTGAAATTTGGCAAAACAGCCAAGTATTTTTCATGATCACTAGGTAATTTTTCTGATGATCATTATAATTTTTAAACTAAATTATTTTAGATGTACATTTTAACTAGTTTTGATTCTATGAAAAGATATTTATCATAGCCAGTAAGCTTGACACATGAACCAAATTTAACATTCATGTAATTACATGATTAAAGACATGCTGGTTACATTATGGTTTTTTTAGCAAGTACAATGCTACTGGTAATTGCTATAAAGCACAACTTGCATGGACTTACAGAAAATAATAGTCTACTGAAAGGCTTCATAAACTTTAATGCATTAAGCTGTCCTTAATTGCAAAATTTCCTCTCTGATACTTATTGTTTAATCTTTGGCAGAAAAAAATTTTGAATTTTTTCTCAAAAGGTGAATTTTCTGCCACTGTAAGTGGAAATGGGTTAAGGGTTCAATAAACTTGCATGGTTTGAAGTCTGAGCTTTTTTACATCTATGAACTGTCCCTTGTAGTACCTCAATTCTAACTTAAATCATTACGTAGAGGTGTGAATGGGGGTTACTAGGGGGGTCTATGCCTGTCAATTTGGTAGAAATTTTTAAAGACTATCTCTGTTTTGAATTAGCATTATTGGAAAGTAAATTTTATGCTCCTAAGCATGCTAATGAGCCTTAACATTTCGCAAAACATTCAAGTATGGTTCACTTTACAGTTATTTTTTTAGAAAAAAACAATGTCCACAAAAAGCATTTTGTATTGCTCTAAAATGCTGAAAATGGCATTCCCAAGGCTTTGAAATTCAAAATTTCTCACTCTTCCTAGCTTTGGCTACTCGTTGTACTAATTTTCCTGTAAAGTATTAATACACAAAGGAATTGAGAAAAAAGCAATTATGATTTGTGTTCTGTGGAGCACACTTCAAAAATAGTTCCCACTAGGCTACCTATGCTATAAGTAACAGAATTTAACATAAAAGCCCATCATGACACAATGACATCCAAAACGTCTTATCAAATCAAAGCACCCCATGTCCCCCATAAAATCATTCTTGATCCATCCCTGTCTTGAAGTGAATGCACTAAATTTATCCCCAGTTTCACATTTCACATTTTGTGTATTTTTTAAGGTGCAAAGAAAGATTGATTCCTTCTGTGTTCTAACTCAATCACTAAACTTGTAAGATACAGGGCCAGGACTCAAGTGGTAAGTTACCTTTTCTATTCTATGCATACTATTAAGTCAAGTTAATCTTGTAATAGAATAGATAAAACATCACCCAGATTGTAAGAAATTGAATGCATGATTAGGTACCATACCACTATCATACTTAAGTCTACATACGTAAAATATGCTGGCATTGCTAGATTTGTGAGCAACAAAATTTTATTCATGACCTTGGTATCAGGGTGTCTGTACAGAGAACATGTTCATTTGAAATGTGGGTTTTCATCTATTATAGGAAAAACACCTGCACTTTTAGCTTCTTACTTTAAAGTTAATGATGTTTGAATGCCATGTATTTACAGGCATCATGGTGAAAACCATTACATAATTTATTTGTTTAGTGTGTTCATCCTTAAAATGGACATTAATGCCACAGAATATTTACATACAGGTCATTTCTAGTGATTTTTGTGATTTGCATTTGTCAAGGGCAATTTTCTTTGCTGAGTGTCAGTGAATCATGTACAGTGTTAACATAAAAGTCACTCAAAGTTAAATTGAGATAATTGAATGTAACTATAGCAGAAGATTGTCAGTATTAACCAGTCAACCAACAATCAAACAAACCATGACTTTCCATTTAAACTGTGACCAAAGGAAGGGGATGGGTGGCTATGGAGGTTGCAGCCCCCGAAATGATTAAGATGGAGGTGCCAAGACCCCCCCCTCCCATTATTCAATTATTCATTGTTACAAAGAGCTTTTCAATGTTGTTTTCTGAAATAAGTTCCTGTTCGATAATGGAAAAGAATTGACATATAAATGGCCTCTCATACTGTCTGTCTCTCTCATACATAATGACGTAATGAAGCTGAAACTTTGCTTAATGGTCTGAATGCCAAGCGCCTGCTACGACGTTTTTTGTTGTTTGCTACACCGCTCTATACAAAACATCTTCCGCTGTCACTGTCTGTGATTGCAAAAGCTCTTATTGTTGGTACAACAGCGTTAAGAAAGTGGAAAAAGCAAAAAAAAATCAAGGCATCTAAACATATTTTAAAATCCTGATCACGTAAGGTGCATTTGCCCAAAAGTCTTTCTTATTTTTCAATAAACTGCAGGTGGTTTTCCCTTTTCTTCGGTATTTAAAGAAACGTGGTGTTTGTGTTTATTTTTCGGTATGCTAGTTACGTGTTTTAAACTTTTTTTCTTTGAAAACAGATTTTGAATTTGTTAACGATGCCTGGAATCAAGATCCGTGATGAAGATCGAGAAAAAATCCCTGCGAAGTATATATGTACTTACTGTCATCACGTTTTTATCAATCCAATGCAGACCTCGTGTGGACATTTGTTTTGTAAATCTTGTATGGACATTCTTGGGTAACGTCATTTTTTATGTAGCAAATCATTTATAGAAAGTTATAGTAGTTGTCATACATGATCTTTCAATAGACGCCCTGATTATGCATCCCAATATCGTATCACATATCCCAAAGTATTCCTGCGTATCATCTTGTTCAATTAAGTCGGTGCTTAGCTGGTAGGGCGTCAAAATTGTTTATTAGATCATATGGTACGACTTCGGTTAAAAACTGTTGCGTAGGAGACTAGGGAGAGCTCATCATACTCATATTTTTATAATCCTAAATAACAGCTGCTTTCCTAGGAACGTAATTTATCAGAACATGCATGTACAAATATTGACCCCCCCCCCTCTATTTAACTGTCGAACTGGCTACGCCATCCACTCTACGAAATTGATCATTCTTGTTAGTAGTTTTTCTCTTTTTTCAATCTGTAGAAATCCTGATTTTAAATGTCCTGAAGATAAAGAAAATTTGACCAAGGAAAATGTAGGTGAATATATTGCAAAGATTTGACAGAAAATTCAATTACAGTTTTGTTGCTATCGATCATTAGCGTAGCCATCCTGCTAGTTTAGTCCTGCTTTGTAAATTGTAGTACATAATATTTTCCATATTACAGGGTTGTCAGTTAATGAGCAAAGAAAAATTAGCATAGGACGACTAAATAAGCATGTTGGCTTAACAACTGTAATTATAATTACTCTTTGAGTTCTAAAAAATAATACATCGATGTACGTATTTTGTACTTGAAATGGTATCGCCTAGGATCATGAGATAAAATACTCCACCATGCCTAGCAACAGCGTATATACAGGTACATTAACGGTTCAGTGACCATGTAAATTACAACAGTATCAGCTGCACAGGTAGTGTGCATGCTTTCGCTCAAAATGTTGAGTGTGCTGTTTTAAAAACCAGAAGTTTCATTGCACTATAAACAAAATTGAGGTGCGGTTTGGTGACCATGGAACAAAGCAAATGTTGAGTGATGTTGAGTGGAAATTTTGAGCAAGTTTAAACTTCACTCAACAACGCTCAACCCCGCTTAATAGCTACTACTCAACTCTCCTAAACACGGTGTTGAACATGTTGAGCTCGTTGTTGAGTCTACATGCTGAGAGCCTTTGCATCTAGCGTTAGTGCGTCGGTGAATTCTACTTCAAAAAAGTTTGCCAACAGTTCTTGTAAGAAATTTACGTTACTGTTTCATTTAACGTCTAGTGCAAACTTGCATTTGAGTGAAGTGACTCTGTCTTTGCTACATTTAATCTTGTTTCATAAAGATCAATTTCCATGGATCCATCTAGGTTTTCCCGGATGCTTTTACGAAGCGTGAGTTAAAAAGGATTTAATTACACTGTCCATCTGAAGAGTGTAAATGGTTTGGTACACACGAAGAATTGGAGGTGAGTTGGGCACTGAAATTTATCAAAAAAGTGTGGCATTTTCACTTATAAAGGGATACACCGAATCTAAGGGATTAGGTACAACATCTTTCAAAATTTCGTGCTCGTCTACACCTTTCTTATTGCTTAACAGAGCACGCAATATTGACTACGTTTCTTCTAGCTTATCAATTAATGTTTCCAGTTTGGTGAGAACTGATCTTTGGAAGCCTACAAGATAAATAAGAAAATAATAGAATAACTTATGTATAACCTACGTAATATCTTAAAAATATAAAACCTTACAACATGCTAACAAGAAAATTCAAAAAAAAATCGCATCAAATTGCTAATTGAATACACATACATAATAACAACGCTTTTCAAAAACTATATACTGTAGAAAAGGTACCATTGTTTGGTTGAGAACGTCTTCCTGCAGGTGTTATGCTCATAAAACTTGTCGAAGGCGTTTCGTGCGATGAAAGGTCATACGCATCTGCAAAGCAATCACGTGATGTAATTAGTTTTGAAGAAAAAACATTTCAAACGACACGAAATGAACGTAAATGAAAACGTAACAACAAGACATGCAATAATGAATTGTAAGAAAAGCTTGCCTAAGACACCACTGTTTCGTTGAGAATGTCTTTCTCTTATTGTGCCAGTTGTAGGAATTTCTTGTGAAGAGACGTTGCTTATATCTACAGAGAAGACACGTACTGGGTTTAACATATCTTTATGAACGCACGAACGTCATTTAAATTAAGGTACTACAAGTTTCAAAAATCAGAAAAAAAAGGTGACGAAAATAAAAATCTCGAGAAAGTTTCATTTGGTAGTTTGATAGCAAATGCTGAGAATTAGATTTGAACGAATGTATTTTGATTAAATCTTGGTGAATACAACTGCAATTTTAACTATAACTAACATTTTTTCAACTAATTACAACATTTTTCGGGACCAACGCCTACAGCACCTGTAGAACATATATAAGCCCTATAATGCAACGATGGACGTAGAGAAACAGTAAATGTACAATACGAATGTTAAAGGTATTTAAAAAGAATCAATCAAAATTATTTCAACATTTTAGTCGACATATTATAAGAAAGTTGCTGATTAGTCAGTTCTGATGACAGAAAACTTACCACTACGCTGAGATGGTGTCCTTCTAGTAGATGTGGAAGTTATTGCATGATCCTTTGTGTTTAGGATTTCTGGTGCTAGTTCACCGTCATATAAATCTAGATCAACATTATATTAGTATGATAAGAAAATTTTATACATGCATGTTTCTGTCAAAAATTGTCCACTTGTACAAGGATTATAATAGCGCTTATACCTTTTTCTGCAAGGGAGATCAGCTCGCTGTACACCGGCAAATCTAAAAGCAAAATCACTCATTAGATTTAAATGCAATGTAACAATGTGTGAAAACTGCACTCCTTTGAATAAAGCAATGGCCTATTGCATTGCAACTACAGTACTTACTTCTAGAATTTGTTGATAAGATTTCATTGACGGTTGAAAAGCCTGTATACAAAAGAAACTGTCTGAATTCTGTAACTTTCCATCTATCAACCTCCATTAAACTCCTAGGTTTTCGCACAAATGTAGAGGGATAAATGGTTTAAGCTCCACTAATTTATTACTAACATCCTCTACATGGGCAACAGACATTTTAGCAGTGCGATTTCCCCTCATCCAAACCATAATCAATTTACCCATAACATGCAGACACAGTTGATGCATGTAGTAAATTGGAAATTGTTTTACCATATCAACAGGCAAGTGACAGAAAGGGCTAAAAAAGCGATGATGTTCTTCTTGTATCTGCTTTCTTAAAGAAATATTAGTGTGCAATTCTATATTATTATTTTGAGAGTAAGTCACTTGACCAAGCCACTTCCCTTTTTGTGTACACTTGTCACAACCAAAATAACCAGTACAAAGTTTTGTACCTTTAACAAGTGCTCTTGCAGGAGCATCACAAACAATGCCCCTTATTGTAACAGTCAGAACCTTTTCACCATCTTGGACTCCCCTCTCTAGAATACCCTTCAAATCTTCATTAAACTCATCCAAAAACTCCAAGTCTTTTGGCTTGGAGTCACCACATGTTAGGACAATAGGAAACACTAAAACAGGTTTGATATTCAAAAAGGCACAAAACACTGGCCATAGATTTTTGCAGAATTTTTAAACAAAAGAAGCCCATCAACATTTAAAGAGATTTTAAGATGATTAATGTTCTAATGCATCTTAAAACTCTATTAGCAGCAATCCAGTAATTTTTGTATTGCACCTGGTCACGTTTTATTACTATATGAACTAAAGTAAATAATAAAATGTAACTGTCACTTTATTTATTTTTGATTGATTTAAACATATCCTAATGTTACAACCCATTCCCCCTAAGTGCTGGTGATCACAACATTTAGCAAAATGTTTTAATAAAAAAAATGATGAATCTCATTCACAGGTCATGGTAACTTATATGTCTCCTCAACCATTTGTAACTTATTCTCTTCTTTACATGCATGTATCATACCTAATTTATACATAACCCTAAAATTTTAAGTATAACATTATAGTTTACTTGCTAACAGCAGCAAATGGAAAATGCTCTTAGCAACTAAATAAAAATAATTTAACTGACATTGCAAGCTTACTAAAGAAATAGGCGAAGTTAATAAACCAATCTAAGAGATAAAAAAGTGGGTTGTAAACTACATATTGTCTTGAATGCAATAATTGGACAAACGATACTTACTAGTATTATAAAGCAACCATGCATTGTTATGAATAAACATTCAATTACCTCTTTGTAAAATTATATCACTGTTTAAAAACTGCTGTGATTTGCAATAGAAAGTACAACTATTTTAAGGTTTAAGGCTACGTGATTCTTAATCAAAAACATTTTGTAAATCACATAACCCCATGTTAAAAAATATTAATCATCACCGCTAATCAGTCAGTCAGTCAGTTAATATAATTCCAGATATGCTAAAACGTGATATTTACGTAACATTTCAAATATAAAACAGAATTTTGACAATGAAATTCATACGATAATACATCGGGAATTTAATGATCACAAAAAATTGTAATCATTAAATTTGATAAGTAATTTTTGAACTATAAACATCAGTTGCGTGACTGATTTGACATACCCTAGATCCGCCCCTGCATGTTATGACAATAACAACCATACGTACTGATGAATACCAATATCCAAATGCTGTAGCAAGGTGTAGTGATAATATTATTTTTATAAAATAAAAGTAGAAATTAAAACAAAGTATAAACTAAGCTTAGTAAATTTGTTTGTTCCAACACCAATATACCCGGACTCATAAAGTCACGGCAAAAGTAACATACGACAATCTCTAGATTATAAAGAATGATAAAATAAAGGTACTCACCACAATTTTTACGCATTGAAACATATTCTAGATCATAACTGCCTCTAAACTTGGAATGCGAGCTGTACATTATCTTGTCTTGACAACTATGAGGCAAATTCGATTCTAGCACGAACGATTTTCAAATGAGCACGAACGCCGATATTTTACAGGTATCGAAATAATTTTGATGTCACATTGATTTAAATAACTTGTGTTATCCATGACAGATATTTGAGATAAGTAAAACGTCGCCAAATGTTTTAAATATTCGAAAATCCTTGTTTGTAAACGTTATCCGACATACTTTTTTATAGTAGTTTGTATCTCTAGTGGGTAACCGGAAGTGCATTTTGCATATATAATTAGGCTTCACATTTAAAAAGAAAAGCTCAAAATAATTCGCGATTTCGCTGCCAAGCAAGAAATCCGATGTAGTGTTCGACCAAATTTGATGCTTTTTGGGTTAATATTATGCCAATCAACTAGTTATAAACTAATTAGTTAATTCAATTACAGCAATGGACATTTTTATATTCTTGGTGTAAAGTCGTTTTGAATTGTACTTTTGCCATCTTACGGATCAATTCTGATTACCAGAAACAGCTTGAAATATACCTAAATGATACAACAAACATCGGACATGATCTTAACAAATCTTTGTAGTTTCTACAATAAGAATTCTATATCAGCTTTCCTTTATTTAATTTATCATAATATAGTATAATGTAATCTTATCAAGGCGTGAGATTTACTTTTCCCAACATTTAAGCCAACAAACGCCTAGTTTGTTTTATTCAACTTAAACAAGCAAATGAAACAAAAGTTCCACAATCTGATATTGTAAATTTTCATGTATAAGACGAACTCTTAATTATGGAGCTAAGGTTTTTTTTAACAAATTCCCAAAATACCAAGGAAACGGTAATAAATTCAGACATGTTGATAACAACAACAAAAATCATAAAGCCGTATCTTTGCTTTACATAACAATAAACTTTTAATGTTTTATGTTAAGTTGCACAAAATAATTTGCCACGTATCAATTCAACGTACGAAGCCATTTGACGCTTAACTTATCAGAACGTTAACAAATCGGAAAGATCGAATGTTCAAAGCCTCAATCGTCGACAAGTAAAAGGTTTGTAAGACAAAAGACAAAGACTTATTATGTGTGTTAACGATGTATAAATGAGATCTTACATAAAAGTTGTTTATCAAATATAATTACTATACTTTTAATAATTATTAGTCTCAACCTAGTACTTGATACCCATATTACATCATAGATCCCCGTAGCAATGTGATCCTGTAGTTGTACACCAAATAAGCAAAGTTACAAATAAAAACATATTGCTTACTAAAAAATCACTGTCATCTGAAGGAAGGCGTGTTTATAATAGTGTGCTTGCTTGCTAAGGAATTTAAATTGCTTGCTAGCATGCAATTATATTTATATTTGTGTCCGGACGGTATATTTATAAAATATGTTTTATTTCATTATACTTGTGATAGTATGAAATGACATTTATGAATCAGGAAGAAAATTTGGTTTGAAATTGCAAATGAACTCATGCATGCCATTATTGAATATTTTAAATATTTAGTCGTTTTTTTAAATATTTAGTCGTTTCTTTAAATATTTAGTTGTTTTTTTAAATATTTAGTCGTTTTTTTTAATTATTTAGTCGTTTTTTAAATATTTTGTCGTTTTTTCAAACATTTAGTCGCTTTGTAACGTTGCAATTATCTTTCGTCGAGCTGTTAACGCTAAGGTGATACATGCAAATTCATAGCATTAAATAGATAAAGCTGAAAATCTTTGGTTTTTGATTTGAAAAAACCGAGCTTTTGGACCACATGGTGGTGTACAGCAGAAATTCTAATATAATTCTGCTATGTTTGAGGCTCTTCTCGTTAAAATTAGACCGATTAACTAATTATAACCTAATTATTCAATTCAATTACAGCAATGAACATTTTTGTATTCTGAGTCTGGAATCGTTTTGACTTGTGATTTTGATAAACCTAACTTTTGAAACCTTACGAATCAATTCAGATTACCAGGAACAGCTTGTTGTTAAATATACTTAAAAGATACAACCAAACATTGAACTTGATGGTAACAAATCTTTAGAATTTCTACAAGACTACAACAAGAATTTTCTATCACCTTCCCTTCATTTGATTTATCAGAATATAATGAAATGTCACCTTATCCAACTGTGAGATTTACTTTTCCCAACATTAGAGCAAACGAACGTATATTTTAGATAAGACTTAGTCTATTTCACGAAATGAGGATCTTGTAAATTATAAATTGAGAGACAAAATACAGAGGTCATTTGTTTACGAATGACAAACAACAATAACAGTTGGGTCCAGGCCCTTATTAATCAACGATTATCCCATTATGCTCTATCCCCTAAGTCTTTTCTAGTATAGGAAAGCGTAATATAAAGTTGTTCTTTGATATTTGTTCATCCTCTCAATTTTCTAACAGCCTTTTCTTGTTGAAATCGAGTAATCTGCGTAGAGCTAGATGTGCTTTCTTGCTAGTCTTTGTGGTCGGTGGTGTAGATTCTCTGGCATCCTCAGGTATCTTGGTTGCGTTTGGTAAAGTTCCATCGACGGTATCTATGTTCGGTAGTGGTGCTGGTTCCGGGGTATCAGTCTGTGTCGTCGGTCCTAGACGTGGTAATGACGATGTTGGTTTTCTGTTGGCTGGTGTCAATTTTTTGGGAATAAGGTTCTCCGTTGAGACTTTTGGTATCAGCAGCAGGTCCGTATGAATAGTACATTTGGGTGACTGCTCTTGTAGAAGTGTGAATTGCCGAAGAAATTTTCTGTTTCTTAGTGTAATTTTGTTGGACCCGTCGACTTTTACGCGGTATTAATCGTGTTGAAGGACTTCGATGACTGTTCCAGTCTTGTCCCATTTCGTAGGTTACGGTCCTGTTTGGTTCTATATTCTTACGTAATGTCCAATGGACAGAGGTGTTAATCTTCTTGTGTGTTCTGACCAAGTTCCGCTGCTCGCGTGTGCCGGTTTCGTAAAGCCTCCTCTCGAGCATCGAGTGTTTCGCTCCAGGTTGCGTGTTGCCTATAACGACCGGGGGGAATTGGTATGAAACCCTTAATAGGTCTACCGAAGACGCTTTGGGCCGGTGATAATTTCGTATCGATATCCGGCGTGTTACGATCTTGTAGAACAGCAATTTGTAAGGCGTTTGTGTTGAGACTACCAGTTGGGCCGGTATTGTTCGTGATGAGGCGTTTCACAGTTTTAACGGCAACCTCAGCGCGGCAATTTGAGTGCGGAAATGCAACGGAGACGAGGCAGTGGAGTACCCCCTATTGTTTGAGGAACTGCCTTGTTTTGACAGCGGTGAATTCTGGTCCGCCATCAGTAGCGCATTCGTCTGGGATCCCAAAGGTGGTGAAGACCCGACGTAGGCAATTGATTAGTCCGTCGCAACCGTCTTTGGCTCGTTCGATAATAGGCCAGTTAGAGTAACGATCTACGATTACAAGATTTTTGGATCCTTTGTAGTGGAAATAATCCGCACAGATGCACTGAAAGAGGTAGGCTGGTGAGATGATTGGTGTGGGTGGTGCGCTGGGTTGGGATGGTGCTATCCGGTTGTAATGGTTGCAATGCGTACGAATTGCTGCGATATCTGATGTGATTCCCCGCCAGAAGACTGAGTCCTCTGCGCGGGCTGTCATAGATGATATGCCCATGTATGCCGAGTGTAGCACTTCCAGGATGTTTTTGCGTAACAGTTGTGGGATAACCACACGATCTCTGTACATGATGACGCCGTCCACTGTGTAGAGGCTGTGGCGAAACTGCTAGTATTCTTGTAATGGTAATGGGAGATCATTACGTGAAGCTGGAAAGCCAGATTTGATGACATTCATGAGATCGTGCATATTGGTATCGCTGGCAGTTTCCATGCGTACCCTGTCCCAGGCTGTGGCGACGTTTGTAAGTGCTAGAGAAGCGAGTGAAGCGATGGTTTCGTCAAAGCCGGTGTGTGTAGAGGTGTCCTTTAACTCTGCTATGTCGTCCTGGAGGTAAAGCATTTTTGGGTTCTCTGGATCTGTGGGTCGGAGGGAGATCGCATCGGCGGCTTTGTGACGAATACCAGGGATATAGATAATTTGGAACCTGTATCTTAGTGTCTTCTACTTGAGATTGCGTTGGCGGGGTTTGGGATATTCTCCAATGTCCCATCACCGAATAGTTTAAGCAGAGGTTTGTGGTCTACAGCGATTTTGAGGTTGGTGCAACCGAGTACGAAGAATCTGGATTTGTCGAGGGCGTCTGCGACTGCCAGTGCCTCCCCTTCTATTGGTGCATATCGAGATTCAGCGGCATGTGTAAAGCGGCTGCCGACCAGGCTTATCTTCCACTCGGTGTCGCAGCATAGTGGTCCAGTTAATTATCATTCACAGTGTTTTTAGAGTAGCCAAAATCCGATGCCATGTTTTGACCAATCAGTGGCAAGACAGGTGGGGCGTGTTTTGTCAAAGATGCAAACGCCCTCATGGATTTCATTTATGATTACGGATTTGGATTCCTCAAAGAGTGTGTAGAGCTCCTCGTCCCAAAAAAAACATCGTGCTTGGTTTTAGCAGTTTTCTAAACGGTAGCATACGTTCAGTGGTTTCAAAGGCATATGAGACTTGATTGATCAGGCCAAATCAAGAGCGGATGTCAGTGATACTGCTCGGCTTTATAAAATGGCGAATAGCATCGATGAGTTTCCTGCTTGGGCGAACAGAGTTTGATGTGATTTCAAACCCTGCGAACTCGACTCTATCTGATCGGAAGACAAATTTGTCTGGGTTGAGGATGATGCCGTTTCGACTACAGATATCTAGCCATTCGACAGCCTGATGAAAACTTTGGGTGAGGTTATCCGCCCAAAGTAGGGTATCATCTATGCATTTTTTTTTTGTTTGGAATGTGTGATACAATCTCATCGAACCAGCGCGAATAACCTTCCCCCGAAGCAATGTACCCTTGTGGCGCTGACTTATAACGATAGCAACCCCAGGTAGTGATAAAGGTGGTGAGGTGTCTGTCGTCTGGGTAATGGGGAGCGCTGTGATAACCGTTCCAGCAGTCGAACACTGATTTCTTTTTGCCACTAGGAACAGAGCAAGCCTGATGGAAAGGGCTCTCGGTGTGGTGGGTCTCCCTAGTGGCATTTGCATTTAGTGCTTGTAGGTCAACGGTTAGTTGTAGTTTACAGTTCTTTTTCGCACAGATGACCATCCTGTGTTTTCTTCTCGTACAGTGAGTTCGCAGATTGCAGCCATGACGTCGCTGATGGGTTTGTTTGTGAGGGTGCCGCCAGCGTTTCTGGTGACGTCCTTACGAAGTGTTTCGTCATAGCATTCGAGTAATTGGATGATTTTGTCTTTGCCGGTTATTTTTGTGGCTTTAACATAATCCTGCCAGCGTGTTTGGAAATACGTCCATTCCTCACTGGAACCGGCCGCGGATATGGTTGTATATCAATTACTTTTTCAACAAGAGCATTTCCATCAACATATTCATCAACTGCAATTGTTATTGTCTATGACTTCACTCTTACCAATAGACCATCTCCATTTTTGCCTTTTTCAATGCCAACGTGCACCTTCACCTCTTTTGACAACTTTGCTTTTTTTCCTCCAGGTTTTAGCTTAAATTTTGATGATCTGTCTTCCTCTATCTTCTTATGAACTCTTTAAATGAAAGGGATTTTACTCCAGTGGTCTTGCTTAGCGGTTTTGAACCTATTTCTGTGTTTAGATACAGTTTGAATTATATTGTTACAGAAAATATATAACAGCCAAAACAAATGGGAAAACATATAAGAAAAATAGGGATAGATAAGAAGATTTTAAATAAATAAAAAGTAGAATGAACAATTTCCGTTTTACAATTGAACGAACGTTCGTGCACTTGTATTTTATAAACTATAGGATTATGTACTTACCGAAATCTGATAATGCACAAAACCCACAGTTGTGGCAAAATTTGGCTTTATCCAAAAGTTTTGTTCCACAACTTTGGCAGAACATTTTGCCTTAAAAATTCCACTTTCAGACTCGTGTTTTATAATATTTATTGGTAAGATTTGC